TGCCGCCCAAATGTTCACGCAAAGAAAGAAGGCGTAACTTTTATTCTCGCTGTAGTATTGTTGTTGCTGCCGCAGCCATGTCGCGAAGGCGCTGTGTTTCATTGTGAAAGCGAAACTACTTTGTTTGGCCTTCCAAAAGAGGACAATATCCGCTTTTTTCATGCCTAGAGCTGATCCGTGCTGGTCGCTGAGGAAAAACATGTTTTTGCAACATGAGTTTGAGCAGTGTAGAGTAGCGCTTATTGTTTGTCATTTCTCCGATCACAAATGCAGACATGGTTTTATGTTTACGTGGCGCAATGTTTTTTTAACCTTAAACCGCATAAACACATTGCATTACACAAAAGAATGTTATTTTTAGCAACATCATATGACCCCTTTAACGGGTCTTTTGTCGCATTGCTCACATCCGGTGTAGATGCCCCGTTAGGTCAAATAATAAGGTAGAAATTCATCATGTCATCGTGACATAACACATACTTACAGTGTTTGAAAAGGACATAATCGTCCTCTGCTATTTTCTGGGGTGCATTTTACCCCCAAACCTCCCAAAGAGCAAAGTGAAATCGCGAGAGCAACTGGACATTTGAAGCTCATGACAGACGCTCCCAAGAGATGATTCGTGATTGGCTGAATGTTAGTTCACTCAGATCGGCGGTGGGTCAAACAAAGCGCGGGGGACAGAATAACCTTTTCCTAAAAGTGCGGCGGACATGTCCTCCCCGTCCCCCACGGCTGCTACGCCCCTGACAGCAGCGCTGTATCGTATCTGCTCCTGCAGTATCTCTTACTCACCACGAGAGGTCCCTGTCTACCTTCTAAGTCAGGGGTGTCAAACTCAGTTCCTGGAGGGCCACAGCTCTGCAGAGTTTAGTTCCAACCCTGCTCCAACACATACTGTGCAGTTTTCAAATAAGCCTGACGGACTTGATTAGCTGGAGCAGGTGTTTAATTAGGGTTGAATCTAAACTCTGCAGGTATGTATATATATATAAATATATATATATATATATATATATATATATCACTGACCAGGCCCCAACAGGCTCTGTGAGTAAAGTTGGGCAAAACCAGTTTTAAGCACTTGTCAAATACTCAGTGTTTATTGCTGGGGTTTTCAACTCTGGCCCTCGAAGGTCCACTTTCTTGCAGAGTTTAGCTACTACTGATGATCAACTGGATCTGGAAAACTATATTTCTCATTTAACAAGAGAAAAATTATTGAGGTAGTCTGAGACCACAGCTGATTAGCACTGCTGACACTTGCAGGTAAATGGTGGAAATATAATATAATATGTTACTAATCGAGCTATTGGTCTGCTTCATTATCTAACTGGAGTAAAGTTGGGCAAAAGAGGGTTTAAGTATGAGTTTTGTTTCACCAAAACCTAAACAGAAATGTACTAAGAGTTTGTCATTCAGTGGAATTAGAAGCCAATTTGGTGTGCTGGCATTTTGTCACACAGACTATTCTCAAGAAAGAAAAGTGAAAGTAAATCTGAAAAGTGAAAATTCGGTAACACTTTATAATAACTTTCATTATTAAATCATTAACAAACATATAACGGATCATTAGTTAATGTATTTTCAAGCTAGAAATGTCTACTAATAAACGTATTAAACATTACCTAATGATTAACAGATCATTACATCATGTAAATTAAAATGCATACAAATGTCATTAAACCTTCAATTCATATGGACATGCACTTCTTGAAAATCTATTTTATTTATTCTTATTGCAAATTGTACACTATCTACAAATGATTTTAAAAGATGTTATACAATGATTAAAAGCTTTTGTTAATGCACAACACTTTTGCTGCTATTGAGATGTGATACGGGTAAGGTTTGGTGGTATTGGTAGGTTTAAGGGTTGGTTAAGGAGTCAACAGTTAAGGGGTTTTCTTGAAAAACTGATTTGTTTTCTCCTGTTGATGTATGATTCAAGGAATATCATATTTCATGATATACAGTAATATACTAATATAAGTGTTAAGGCAATACAAACAAGTTTTGCACCCAATTTACAATGTGTGTTATGTCTTTAGCAAGCATTTAGCTGAACCTAACTAACTACACAACCAACAAAGACCAAATATGTTACATTTACAGACTGTGAGTTAATGAATAATATGTTAACATGAACAGTTTGTGAAGTGCTTAAAATTACTAATTAAGCTATTTTCACAACATTTGTAAATGTAAAAAGGAGCATTAGGTAATATGTAAACTGAAGTTTAATGACATTTGTTAGCATTCAAAAGTACATTAACAAATAAGCTTTTATTCATTGCATAATTGATGTTAAAATAATTTGTAGATTTTTCAAAAGTGCATAAGTGTATGAATTGAAAATGTAATGTCATTTGTAACCATTAACTAATGATGCATTAAGCATTATATGTTAATGATTTATTAATGAATCTTTGAATCGTTGTTAACCATCTGTCAAAATCATTTGAAGATTTACAAAAAAAGTGCATGATCATTTGAATTGAAAGTTTAATGACATTTGTAAGCATTTCAGTTTACATTAAATAATGATCTGTTGATCATTAGGTAATGTTTAATAAGTATATTAGTTAGTAAACATTAACAAGCACATTATGTAATATATCTAGATATTTCTAGCATTCTATAATATTTGTTCATGATCTATTAATGAAAGTTATTATAAAGTGTTACTGAAAATTCTAATTTAAATTCTTAAAATAAATAAATAAAATTGCATTGCAATGACTTGCAAAAAGTTTTGTGTGTGTGTGTGTGTGTGTGTGTGTGTGTTGAGTTTAACACATACTCCATTTTATGATAATTCATATCTGTGCACTTTGTACTTGTGTGTACTTTGTACTTGCATATGTTCAGCATGTTTGGCTGCCGACATACAGCAACCTAACTTTTGAAGTTTATTAAAACTTCAGAGAAATGACAGATATATTCTGTTTAGAATTTCTTTATCTATGTGTCATGCTGTGAAATTAACTATCTGTTGCGATTTTTGTGAATAAGCCTCAAGAAAAGATCAACAATGGCAGAATCTTCATCAAAATCATCAACACCAACCGCAGCCTGCAGAGGGAGTATGAATCGCCCTCCAATGAGTAAGTAAAAAATAAATGATACCAAGTGCTTAGTATTTACAGTAGACTTTGTTTTTCTTATGTGAAACATTTAATATTTTGCTTTACATATGATAAATGCAAATTATGATAAACCTCATCATCCTCTTCAGCTCTGTCAGAGGAGCTCAAGTGCTCGATTTGTTTGGATTTGTTCACCGATCCAGTCAGCACTCCATGTGGACACAACTTCTGTAAGAGCTGCCTGAGCCAGTGCTGGAACAACAGTCAGACCTACAGATGTCCATTCTGTAAAGCAAATTTCAGGAAAAGACCCGACCTCAAGATCAACACAGCACTCAGACCGGTTCTGGAGCTCTTTAGGGAAAAGTCTGGTCTGAGTAAATCTGAGGTTCTCTGTGACTTCTGTGATGATATAAAGATGAAAGCACTGAAGATGTGCCTGGTGTGTCAGAGCTCTTACTGTGAAACTCACCTGGAGCCTCATCACAGAGTCGCACATTTAAGGAAACACAAACTAATTGATCCTGGGGCGAATCTTGAAAAATATATCTGTCAGAAACATGAGAAACCTCTGGAGCTGTTCTGTAGAAATGACCAGACATGTGTGTGTTTGCTCTGCACTGTAACAAATCACAGGGATCACAACACTGTTGCTGTAGAGGAGGAGAGCAGAGCGAGAAGGGTAACAACATACATGGTGTAACATGACATTTGAGTTAGATGGTGTTGAATTTGTTCAGTGACTGTATGTTCTGTTTTTTCTGTAGCCTCGTCTGAGGAAGATGAAGACAGACGTGCAGCAGATGATTCAAGACAGAATTAAGAGAATTCAAGACATCAGACACTTAGCAAAACTCAGAAAAGTGAGTGCACAGGAAAAGAGTAATCAAATATTTTGTCTAAAGATGTGTTTTATAAAATTCCTTAGGAGAAATGTTACTTTGCTTTAGAAATAAAAATGGAAATAAATGTGACAGGAATGTTGATACGAGGGGGAAAACAACATACATTTTGAACCACTCTAATTTGTTACAGCCAAATATATTGGTTTTTCTCTCAAATTATATTTATGGTTTGGTTCAAACCTTACATTTTGATTAAACATTTATCACAAATATTTATTTCCAAATACAAAACACTAAAACACAACAAAAAGATTATTACAAAATCCATACACCGAAAAAGGTGTTCAGCTCTGGGGCGACAGAGAAATTGCTCATGTGGCAGGTCTATGTAGCAGTTTAGCTGATTCAAGATAAACATATACAAGATATGACAAAATTTAGCCAATCAGCGTTTTCAAATTAAAACTGAAAAGAGCAATTATTTTACCGCCCCTAATGCTTTAAAGGGATAGTTAACCCAAAAATGAAAATCTGTCATTACTTACTCACCCTCATGTCGTTTCAAACCTGCAAGACCTTCGTTCATCTTCAGAACACAAATTAAGATATGTTTGATGGAATCTGAGAGCTGTCTGACCATGCATAGACAGCAATGCAACTGAAATGTTCCCAAGTCCAGAGAAGTAGCAAAGAGATCGGTAAAATAATCCATGTGACATCAGGGGTTCAACCATAATTTTACGAAGCTACGAGAATACTTTTTGTGCACAAAAGAAAAAAAAAAAAAACGACTTTATTTAACAATTCGTCTCCTCCCTAGCAATTGCAGTTCGTCACCCTAGCGCCATTTTGGATCTGTTTCCTTCGTTGTTGTGATTTGATCTGAACGAAAACAGCGTATCCGCATGACACAGCTGACGCAGAACAGCATACGCTGTTTACGTCCAGCGGATATTCTCCAAAATGGCGCTACAGGGTGATACGGAGGAGATGAATTGTTGAATAAAGTCGTTTTTTGTATCTTTTGCGCACAAAAAGTATTCTCGTAGCTTCGTATAATTGCAGATGAACCACTGATGTCACATGGATTATTTTACAGATCTCCTTGCTACGTTTCTGGACTTGGGAACATTTCAGTTGCGTTGCTGTCTATGCAGGGTCAGACAGCTCTCAGATTCCATCAAAAATATCTTAATTTGTGTTCCGAAGATGAACGAAGGTCTTACGGGTTTGGAACGACATGAGGGTGAGTAATTAATGACAGAATTTTCATTTTTGGGTGAACTAACCCTTTAAACCCGGTTTTGGGCCCAATTTGCACCCCTCAATGATCGGGGGGTGTTGCCCGATTTGAGGCTTGACGCAACCGACATTTTGTGTAAAGAAAATCCTCAATTTTGTGGTGCCATAATGATTATTTTACTGCTCCCGATCGCGTCAGCGCCTCCACGATCCCAAATCGTAAACACGTTTGATATTTATGACCCTTGATGTGATACCTGCGATAGCCAATGAGAGTGAGCAAGCGTCACCTACTGGAAGTTGCAAGCTTCTAAAGTTGAAACTTGGCAGCCACAAACATGCCACGAAAGGGGAGTATTGAGAAGGAATATCACCCATATTCTTTTTTTGTACTTTGTTTTTCACTGTAAAACAGAACTCGCTCCAGCTGACTGTCGATTGTCCTCCATTTGTTTTTCTTGTCAAGTCATGTTTAATCTTGCGAGTCTCAGTGTGAAATCATTCCTACAATCAACAAGTCCAGCTGAATCATTTAGTGTGCGTGTTCAGAGGATTATAATGTTAAAATCAGTTGAAACTGTCATTATTAGGAATGTCCCGATCAGGTTTTTTTTGCCCCCGATCCGAGTCATTGAATATTGAGTATCTGTCGATACCGAGTCCCGATTCGATACTTATGTATTCCTATAGGAATATATGTTTGAATATATGCATCAAATACATTATACACGGAAGCTCAAATGTGTGTGACGTGCTAACAGACCTCACTGTTTTTTCCGCTTCATACATGCACATTTGAGAGTCTTCTTTTTCTTTTAATGGCCAATGGCAAACCCACTTAAAGTTGCATACCACCTCCTACAGCACAACACCAGCATGACAGCTGACATAAAATAAGGATCGGGCTTAGGATAGCCGATACCGTTCAGTAAAAAAAAAAAATGCTTGATTGGCCTGATCCCCATCCTTGAGATTGGCTCGGGACATCCCTAGTAATTATGTCTGTGGTCTGAATGCAGCTGAATGCAGTCAAGTGAAGGCGGTTGGTATAGTGATCTTTTGACATCTCCATGTGGTCCTGTATGTTATCACACCTTGTTAAAATGTACTTTTAATTTACCTTGAAAAAAATTGCAGAAAATTTGAGAAATTTTTTCTATCAGCCACCACTGTTTATAATAAACGTTTGTCAGTGTGACTTCATTGTGATTTAAGTTATTTCATTGTGACTCATTCCAGTCTAAGAGAAACAATTGAGATATTGAGATATATTTTCTTAAAATATAATTGAGGAAGTTAAATATTCTATGTACTATGAATTAATATGAATTAACTATTTAAAAAGTAAACATTTTGTGAACTGATTTATCAGAAAACATCAGAGAAAGAGAAAGCAGACAGTATTAAGCTCTTTACTGATCTGATGCGCTCCATTGAGAGATGTCAGTCTGAGCTGCTGGAGATGATGGAGCAGAAGCAGAAAGCAGCAGAGAAGCAGGCTGAAGAGCTGATTAAAGAGCTGGAGCAGGAGATCACTGAGCTAAAGAGGAGAGACACTGAGCTGGAGCAGCTCTCACACACTGAGGATCACCTGCACATCTTACAGGTCAGTGTACTTCTGTCTGCTAACATCACAGCACAACACTCCCCATGCTGAGGGATTTCTGCTCTGTCCTGCTGTAGATTTACCCATCGCTAATCAGACCTCCATGCACCAGCAGCTGCGCTGAGATCAGTATTAGTGACACTCAGCTGAGTGTGGAGCCTCTGAGGAAAGCACTGGTTCACCTGCAGGAGACTCTAGACGAGAAACTCAGCAGAACTGGTAAGAAAATGTCAAATTTTCAATTGTCAGTAATGATTTAAAATGAAAAGGCACTTGCAGGTGTAAGCAGGGGCGCTGTAACATTGGGGAAGGCCAGACGAGGACCCTACCCCCACCTCCACCCAACCCAACCCCCCAGAAACGTGATCGACCATGGCAAAAACCCAGGTCCTTGTGCCCCAGAAACCTTAGAGGCACCCCTGGGTGCAAAACAATTATCTAACATACAATGTAACATGATTTACAATGTCACAAAATCTGTTTGTTTGTCTCTGATCATTAAGAGTCACACTGACAGCTTCACTCTGAGAAAAAAACTTTCTACTACATACTAATGTTGTTATTAATTTCCCCTACATATGAAAACTTTTGTCATTTTATTTTCCCCGTGATAATTTTTTACTAAATTCTTCAAACTTGTGCTGTTTTATCTCATATTCAACTGCAAAAACGTCTCAGTTACTAACTAACCTTGGTTCCCTGAGATAGCAGGAACAAACATTGCATCAGTTGCTGACACTTTGGGGAAACTCTGTTTCTCCGAAATACTAAATCCTGATTGAATCACGTTTGTGCACCGGCACGAAAAAACAAACAAAATGGGTGGATCCATTCGCCTATATAAGCCGGCACTGAATGCCATTTCATCAGAATCTTTCGACTGAGTGGCAAGCATTTCCTAAGTTGCAAGTGCAGTGCAGAAGCCTCTGCTTCATAACTGGCAGCCCTTTAGTGTGGCCTGCGAAGCACATAAAGACCTGCTCTGATTGACTAAATTGGCCAGAGTGGTCGATATACACTCTAAGGGACACTCTAAGGGCCCGGACCAGGCATAAGCTTTGGCAAGGAGTCCAGGAGAGCCAAGAGAGGTATTACCTGTGCCTTGAACGGAGTGGAAAGCACCCTAGGTACATGCCTTGGCTTGAGTATGACCTTACAGTCATTGGGGCCAAAATCAAGGCAGGAAATGTTCACTGAGAGCTCCACTGAGCTAAAGAGGAGAGATACTGAGCTGGAGCAGCTCTCACACACTGAGGATCACCTGCACATCTTACAGGTCAGTGTACTTCTGTCTGCTAACATCACAGCACAACACTCCCCATGCTGAGGGATTTCTGCTCTGTCCTGCTGTAGATTTACCCATCGCTAATCAGACCTCCATGCACCAGCAGCTGCGCTGAGATCAGTATTAGTGACACTCAGCTGAGTGTGGAGCCTCTGAGGAAAGCACTGGTTCACCTGCAGGAGACTCTAGACGAGAAACTCAGCAGAACTGGTAAGAAAATGTCAAATTTTCAATTGTCAGTAATGATTTAAAATGAAAAGGCACTTGCAGGTGTAAGCAGGGGCGCTGTAACATTGGGGAAGGCCAGACGAGGACCCTACCCCCACCTCCACCCAACCCAACCCCCCAGAAACGTGATCGACCATGGCAAAAACCCAGGTCCTTGTGCCCCAGAAACCTTAGAGGCACCCCTGGGTGCAAAACAATTATCTAACATACAATGTAACATGATTTACAATGTCACAAAATCTGTTTGTTTGTCTCTGATCATTAAGAGTCACACTGACAGCTTCACTCTGAGAAAAAAACTTTCTACTACATACTAATGTTGTTATTAATTTCCCCTACATATGAAAACTTTTGTCATTTTATTTTCCCCGTGATAATTTTTTACTAAATTCTTCAAACTTGTGCTGTTTTATCTCATATTCAACTGCAAAAACGTCTCAGTTACTAACTAACCTTGGTTCCCTGAGATAGCAGGAACAAACATTGCATCAGTTGCTGACACTTTGGGGAAACTCTGTTTCTCCGAAATACTAAATCCTGATTGAATCACGTTTGTGCACCGGCACGAAAAAACAAACAAAATGGGTGGATCCATTCGCCTATATAAGCCGGCACTGAATGCCATTTCATCAGAATCTTTCGACTGAGTGGCAAGCATTTCCTAAGTTGCAAGTGCAGTGCAGAAGCCTCTGCTTCATAACTGGCAGCCCTTTAGTGTGGCCTGCGAAGCACATAAAGACCTGCTCTGATTGACTAAATTGGCCAGAGTGGTCGATATACACTCTAAGGGACACTCTAAGGGCCCGGACCAGGCATAAGCTTTGGCAAGGAGTCCAGGAGAGCCAAGAGAGGTATTACCTGTGCCTTGAACGGAGTGGAAAGCACCCTAGGTACATGCCTTGGCTTGAGTATGACCTTACAGTCATTGGGGCCAAAATCAAGGCAGGAAATGTTCACTGAGAGCTCTTGAAAGTCTTCTCCAAAGAGGTTGATTTCCACTTGTCCAAAGATGTTCCAAATCATCTGAACCGTCTGGGGTGAAGTCTCCATTCTCCATTTTCCTGGAGATACTCCGGGACAACATGTCCCCCCTCTGGTTCATTCTGTGCGGCACGTGCACTGCCCTCACAGAGCAGATGTTGCGATGTGCCCACAGTAGGAGGCATCTTGTTAACTTGTACAGCTTGTGAGACCTGAGACCTCCCTGAGGGTTTATGTTGTCCGAACGGACCAGGACATGGTGCCCCTTCACATCTGGTAAGAAGGCTCTCAGTGCCAGAAAAACTGTCATCATTTCCAGGCATTTGATGTGCCAATGCCGTTCCTGGCCCGACCAGGAACCGAACGCTGGGCTACCATCACACACATTGACACAGCTGTGGTCCATCCTGAGATTGAGCCATCTCAGGTGTGACGGAACGCAGGCCTTAAGCCAAAATTGGAGAGGTCGCATGTGCAGAAGGCCCAGAGGCACTACTGAGGAGGCCACATCCATTTGGCCTAGCAGCCTCTGGAAAGTCTTGATGAGAACCAAGACCCTGAGCTTGAATGACGCTGCCAGCTTCTGAATTTTCAGAGAGCGTTCTAGTAATAGCCAGGCCCACATTTGGGGCGAATCAATGACTGCCCCTAGGAATGAGATTCACTTGCTGGGAGACAGTGAGCTCTTGGACAAATTGATCCTGAACCCCAAGCATTCCAAATGGCTGAGGAGCAGGGATATGTGGATATGAAAATAAGCATCTTTCAGATCCAACAAGAAAAGCCAATCCCCCGGGCAAACTTGTGAGAGGATTTGCTTCAATGTTAACATTCTGAATGGCCATCTTATTTAGGCATGGTTCTGAAGTCTCAAGTCCAGGCTGGGCCTGAGGCCGCCATCCTTCTTTGGAACAAGGAAGTAGCGGCTGTAGAAGCCTGACTTGCTGCGGGCTGCTGGGACCTTTTTGTACGGTGCCCTTCGCTAGTAAACACTCTACTTCAAACTGTGAGCTTGGCTGCCCTGGACCGACCGACCCTGGACTTGACCATGCCCTCAAAGCGAGTAACCTTGTTAGATCATCTCCAGGACCCGCAAATTGACACACCTTGAGTGGCTTCCCAAGCCTGGATTCGGGTGGCCAGGGACTAGAGCACCACAATCAGAGAAGACGTGCTCTTTTTGTGGGGGTGTTTGTTTTTTATTTGTTGGTTTTCTATAATTGCAGTGAAATGACTGGATGCACGCACATTTGGTGCTGCAAACTCTACAGCTTTGGTGAGAATGCGGATGAGTTTGGCTTACAAACTGGGCCTGACATCACTCTGTTCCTTAGGTTGCAGGGGGGCGGAGTCCTCTGTCGGCCATTCCTCCAAGTCGGAAGCTGTGAAGGAATGGGGGGCGGGGGGAGATATGAGCTGGCATGAGCTCACTCAAAGATTGTGGTGCACAAATGTGATTCAATCAGGCTACGGTATTTCGGAGAAACTGAGTTTCCCCGAAGTGTCAGCAATTGACGCATCAAAAGGGAACAGAATATTGTGAGCAGATACAATCAAATATATACAGTCATATATATTCATCACTGTCAGTGTGAACGAGTCAGAGTCAGGTTCTCAATCCATATGCAGCGTTTATTGGAATAAAAGGCAAGGCAGTAAAAAATGCAGTAGTCAAACAGGTAGAGATCGGCAACTAGGTATCAAAGCAGTAATCAATCCAGAGAGGGCAGAGACAGCAAACAGTCCATTGAAGAACAGTCAGAGGTCGGCAACAGGACGGCAATATAAATGTAATCCAATGCACAGACAGTGGTTAAAAGCAGGCAAACAGGTCAAAACAGGTTAGACAATTCAACAGAATGAGAAATGCTCAGAACTGTTGCAGTAGCAAATGAGCAGAATATGTATAAATAGTACAATGATAAATGATGAACAACTGGTACCAATAACAAGTCCAGGCAGAGCATACTGGGAAATGAAGTCCAAGAACCATGTGGTTCAATATTTGGGTGGTAGTTATATAATGAGGGGGCTGGCGAGAAGTCTCAGTGGGTGTAACAGTCAGTAATTTATAAGCAGCAATAAGAAAAACCAGCAGAAACACAAACTTCCATCAGAGAACAGGAACTGAACACACAATGTTTTTGTATCATATTAAAACTTCTGTCATAATATTTTATAGTTATTTGTTTCCACAGTGCTGAAGAGGATACAGCAACATGCAGGTACAATTATTATGTGCTTATTCACATTGTCACAAATAAGAACTTTACCAAGGTCTAGACAATACATTTTTTTTCGATATTAAACAAATATAATTTGTTGTATTGTGAAGTTGTTTTTTATATCTTATCTCTCTCTTTTAGTGGATGTGACTCTGGATCCTGATACAGCTTATCCAAATCTCGTCCTGTCTGATGATGGAAAGCAAGTGACAAGTAAAGACATAAAGCATAAACTCCCAAACAACCCAGAGAGGTTTGATTATTGTCCCTGTGTCCTGGCACATGAGGGATTCAGCTCAGGGAGGTTTTATTTTGAGGTGCAGGTAAAGGGAATGACTGATTGGGATTTAGGAGTAGCCAGAGAATCCATTAACAGGAAGGGAATTATCACCGCAATCCCAGAAGCTGGATACTGGATAGTAGTTCTGAGGAATGGGAATAATTATCTGGCTGGTGAGTCTTCCCCTGTCCCTCTGTCATTGAGAGTGAAGCCTCAGGTCGTAGGTGTGTTTGTGGATTATGAGGAGGGTCTGGTCTCCTTTTATGATGTGGAATCCAGATCTCATATTTTTTCTTTCACTAGTCAGTCTTTCACTGAGAAACTCTTTCCATTCTTTAGCCCTTGTAAGAATGAAAAAGGTAAAATTGCAGCACCACTGATCATCTCACGTCAGATACAATGAACGAATTTACACCAAGAAAATGAACATGAAAATAAGTTTGTATTGCTATGAATACTTGCTAAATGAAGAGATGTCATTTGTATTTTTTCAGTGGTTTTCCAGCTTTTACTTTTTATTTAAATAATAATAATAATAATAAAGTGTACAAGTTTTGCTAGAGGAAACTGAAATTTATATAACCTTTAGATTCAGATACATTCAAGGTCTCAAGATGCATCCTGTAATATCTGTACCATACAGTATACAATGTGAAGGTTATTGCATCCCACTTGGAATAAAATGCATGATTGAAGTAGTATGTCACCTGGATTGTTTATCATGTTTCAAAGTATGCATCCATTCATGCTTTTTGGTCAATATCACCTACAACACCTAGTGGAGTTTGTGATGCTTTTCCCCCCACTTTTTCATCTGTAGAAAAGTGCTGATAAATATAATGCAGAATGTGCCACAGCAGTTTTTAAATGCACAAACCTAAGTTAATTAATATTGAATATTAAAGTAATGATTTTAATGTTAAAACTTATGCAAATGCAAACAGTATGTGAAGAAATATGCTATATAATTTGTGACAAAACATTATTATCTAACACACTGAGGTACATACAGAGGTACACTTTGACGTGCTTCATTTCCATGAGAAGAGAAGGGAGGAGCTGTGACATTACTACAGGTGAGAGCTTTCAGTGCATGGAAAACTAAACTGAACAATTTGGCAAAATATTCCTTTTAAACAGCAGAACATATATTCACTGAAATGGTATCAAAATTGTATTAAGAGAACATCATTTGTGGATTGCGATTTAAAGTTTGATGTGTGCAGAAACGTTGTGGCACAACAGAATCAGGAAGTACATGAACTGCAGACAAACTGAAAGCCGAAGGTAAAAACTATGCTTATGTTTTACATTGATATTTTACCTTACAACTGATTTGTGTGAAAACATTTTGTGGTTTTGATACTTGATATTGTTTTCTTTTCCCCCATTTGTTTCCAATGATTTGTAATTAGTTCTGTAAAAAAAATAAACTATTGAACTAATAAACTATTGAATTAAAAATAAACATTTAAATGCAGCCAGGTTTGAGATTCTGTGATCAATTTAGTTTTTGTATCCTTTTTTTTTTTTATTCAAGTCAACACTATAAAAACCAGTTCTTTTTGATCAGCGTACTTTGTACTCATGTGTACTTTGTACCCGAACAGCATGTTTGACTGCTAACAGTTTATGAAATCACTTTGACATTTCTATATTCACATGTTTCCTGGTCATATTTCATGAGATATATTTTGTGTTTACTGTGAATAGAGCAAAAAGAGTGAAATTCTGAGTGATGGCAGAATTTTCATCAGCAGCACAAAATCCAACCGAGACGAGAAGGAGGAGTCTGGATGCACCTCCATTATGTCAGTAACCTAAAGAAAGAATGAAAGATAGGATGATAATATGAAAAGTGTCATAAAATCATATCAAATGACAATGAGTTAGCATTTATTTTTCTTTCATGAGATCCTAATTGTTGATGAGTTTTGTTTCTTGATTTAATCATTTACTTTGTATTTATAAATCAATTATCAATTTTGATGATAAATTGTGTTTCTTCATCATCCTCTTCAGCTCTGTCAAATGAGCTCCAGTGTTCGATCTGTCTGGATGTGTTCACTGATCCAGTCAGCGCTCCATGTGGACACAACTTCTGTAAGAGCTGCCTGAACCAGTGCTGGAACAACAGTCAGACCTACAACTGTCCATTATGTAAAGAAACATTCAGTAAAAGACCCGACCTCAAGATCAACACAGCACTCAGACAGGTTGTGCAGCACTTTAAGGAAAAGTCTGGTCTGAGTAAATCGGAGGTTCTCTGTGACTTCTGTGATGACATAAAGATGAAAGCGCTGAAGATGTGCCTGGTGTGTCAGAGCTCTTACTGTGAAACTCACCTGGAGCCTCATCACAGAGTCGCACATTTAAAGAAACACAAACTGATCGATCCCGGGGCGAATCTTGAGGACTATATCTGTCAGAAACATGAGAAACCTCTGGAGCTGTTCTGTAGAGATGATCAGACGTGTGTGTGTTTGCTCTGCGCAATGAAAGACCACAAGAATCACAACACTGTTGCTGTGGAGGAGGAGAGCGGAGAGAGGAAGGTAACAACAACTTGACCTTGGCGGATTAGGGAAAAATGTTTTATTACTTGGGTATTGCAATAGATCTGCATTGAAACGTCCACTGGGAGGTGCTAAAAGCCAATTGATTTTTTCCAAAACACATGGACATGATCAAGGTTGAATTCGGAACCACATACTAGCATACTACTACTAGGCCTACTATTTTTACCATATATTTTTAAGGAAAAATAGTAAGAGTAGAATTAGTATGCAGTTCCAAACTGAACAACCATTTCATTAAATTGATTTTTTTTTCATTAGCCTACACTGATTCTTGCATGTGTTCCTGCAGTTCCAATGAATAGCGTTAATATTCTGTTGAGATTGAAACGAAAAAAAGTTATTTCAAGTCATTAGATAGTATTGTGTAAAATAAGTATGTTTTATTCGTTTATAATCTGCCCGTGTAATCATAAACTGTGTGAAAAGGAATAAACATTGTTGGAGTTTGCCACTAGTGTTAATTTCAGCTAAACACTGCAGCAAATTATGTACAGGTCTAGGTATGTTTATGAAGTCTTGCAAAAATGTAGTCCTGTTTTTTCAATGAGACCCTGGTTGTAAATAAACTATTTACCTATTTGTGTTAGATGGAATTGTTGAATCTGTTGAGCGTCTGTGTGTTCTGTTGTATCTGTAGCCTCAGCTGATGAAGATGCAGACAGAAGTGCGGCAGATGATCCAGAACAGAATGAAGAGAATTCAAGACATCAGACACTTAAAAGAAGAAAAAAATGTGAGTATGGATGATTTACCTTTTGAAAATAAAAATCACCATAAAAGTGTAATACAAGTTATCCACATTTTGCCAGTCTTCTAAAGTCATATGATAGCTGTGTGTGAGGAACAGACTGAAATTAATTCATTATTCCCTACTTAACCCATCAAAATCTCAAATATCCAATGTTGTTGATGGAAGATTTTCATTGATTAATGACTAAAGTTTTGATCTTTTTCGTACACCAAGCTAATGTTTGGCTTTAAAAGGATTGAAATATAATGCACTTGTCATCTCACTACTTACAGTAAACTATGACTGAATTGTAATTTTTGGGTGAACTATTTAAAAAATATTAATTTAGTAAAAGTTTTTTTTTTTTTTGATTGATCTAACAGGAATCATCAGAAAAAGAGAAAGCAGACAGTACTGAGCTCTTCTCTGATCTGATGCGCTCCATTGAGAGATGTCAGTCTGAGCTGCTGGAGATGATGGAGCAGAAGCAGAAAGCAGCAGAGAAGCAGGCTGAAGAGCTGATTAAAGAGCTGGAGCAGGAGATCACTGAGCTAAAGAGGAGAGACACTGAGCTGGAGCAGCTCTCACACACTGAGGATCACCTGCACCTCTTACAGGTCAGTGTACTTCTGTCTGCTAACATCACAGCACAACACTCCCCATGCTGAGGGATTTCTGCTCTCTCCTGCTGTAGATTTACCCATCGCTAATCAGACCTCCATGCACCAGCAGCTGCGCTGAGATCAGTATTAGTGACACTCAGCTGAGTGTGGAGCCTCTGAGGAAAGCACTGATTCAGCTGCAGGAGACTCTAGACGAGAAACTCCGCAAGTCTGGTAAGAAAATGTCAAATGCATTGTACATGTTTTCTTTTTTAATAAATCATGTTTAATATTTGATTTAAAATAATGTAATTTAAGGAAATCAATAATAATCAACATGCAATGTACCCTTTCATAAATAGGCCTAGTGTCCCATGAAAAACTACAGTGTATAATATATAGTTAATTTTTGAGTGATTCAGTTAATAGTAAATAATACTAATAGTGTTCTACACAAAATGTTTTTTTTTCACCCTAAAACTACCAGTCTGCCATATATTATATGCCTTATAATATTTTGATGTAATTTGTCTACATAGTCCAGAAGACAATGCAGCATGCAGGTACAAGTGTCAGTGACGTTGAGAGTGTTCATAAGACAATGCAACTATATGGAGGTACGTGGGTCAATGACAATAAGAATGTCCACCATAAAGAAAAGGAAAATCTTTTTAAAAATCTAATTTAAAACACCTGCCACATTCTTAGAAATGTACGTTTTAGATTAATTTGTTCCTTTTGCTTTTATACTATTTTCTCGAGTCAATTTAATTACTCTAAAAATGTGGTGTAACCATTTATAGCAACATTTTCCTTACACATTAAATGAATTATACAGTCAAATCAAAAATTATTCAGACACCAGATATATTTTTTTATATTTTTTTACTAGTGAGTGCAGGACACTATAGTTCATTTATGTCAACTATATTATCAACTAATAACAAAATAAAACTGACATGTTATACCTAAAAATTCTTCATACAGTGGACTACCAGTAAAATGTATAAAAATTTGGGACCAAAAATTATTCAGACTCTTTGACCTGACCATGTTTTGCTTAAGTGTTATCTGACATTATCAAGATGAATTTGTTCTGACACAGTTTAACTCTGAGTTCTTGCCATATTTTATTACCGTTTTCTAAACTATAGCGAATAAACTGTGTTAATGTGTGAAATGTTGAAGGTGCCTGAATAAATAATCTTCTTTACAAATATCATGAATTATTAATAAATGTATTTACAATTTACTTGAACTAACCTTGCCTTGTCATAAAGAGGTCCAATTAGGGCTGCAAAATCAATTAATTGCATCTAAAATAAATGTTTGTTTACATAATGTGTGTGTACTATATAAATACATGTATATATTTAAGAAATGTAATCATATGAATTATATTATATATTAATCAGTCCTACACTGTTTAGTGAAGTGACATGTGGCCAAGTATGGTTACCCATACTAGGAATTAGTGCTCTGCATTTAACCCATCCTAAGTGCACACACACAGCAGTGAACACACACACCGTGAACACACACCCGGAGCAGTGGGCAGCCATTTATGCTGCGGCGCCCGGGGAGCAGTTGGGGGTTCGGTGCCTTGCTCAAGGGCACCTCAGACGTGGTATTGAAGGTGGAAGAGAGCACTGGTTATTCACTCCCCCCACCAATTCCTGCCGGACCGGAGACTCCTTTGGGTTACGAGTTCGACTCTCTAACCATTAGGCCACGACTTCCCCAAGTCTTTTGCCATCACAAATCCAGCCAAAGAGAAACTTCATATGATTATTAAATATATACATGTATATGTGTGTATTTATATTTACATATAAATATACACAGCACACACGCATATATTATGTAAACACAAACTTTTATTTTGGATGCGATTAATTTCACAGCCCTAGGCCAAGTTATCTGATATTTTAAGAGACTGACTGACAGTTGGGTCTGTTGGGTCTTCTCTATGATATTTTCTGCAAGTTGATATCACATGACTTTGTTGGTTGCGAAACATGAATTTGATTTGGTGGACAAAAGTTTTAATCCAATTAAAATATGCAGTATATTTTTGATGTATCCAAGTCATGCAATATATGTGAAATGCATTTTAATGTATTAAATTAGTAGGTAATCAAATCTATATAATACTTTGTTTTTATATTAAACACATGAAAATGGTTGTATTGTGAAGTTGTTTTTCATATATTTTCTCTCTCTTTCATTGGATGTGACCCTGGATCCTTTTACAGCTATGTCGTTTGTCTCCCCAGTTGAGAAGACAATGCAGAAATATGCAGGTATGCTAGTCAAAGACAATAAGTGTCCACAATGATGAAAAGGAAAATATTTTTAGAAATCTCAATTAAAATGCATGTGCCAAGTTTTTAGATATGTACTCTTTCATTCAGACATAAGTTTGAAATTAAAATATGCTCATCGTAGAAGAGGTGTATCGTGATCAAGCAATATACGTGAAATGCATTTTTAGTTTATTCAATTAATAGATCATTAACACTACAATTTGTGTTAAATATTTAAATATGCCACAGTCTACTTTGTTTTCATATTAAACACATTAAACCTGTTGCATTTTGAAGAATTGCATTATTTCATATCTGATCTCTGCCTTTCAGTGGATGTGACTCTGGATCCTGATACTGCTCATCCAAATCTCATTCTGTTTGATCATGGAAAACAAGTGAGATATGGAGATATTAAACTCAAACTCACAGACAACCCAAAGAGGTTTGATTATTGTCCCTGTGTCCTGGCAAAAGAGGGATTCAGCTCAGGGAGGTTTTATTTTGAGGTGCAGGTAAAAGGAAAGACTGATTGGGATTTAGGAGTGGCCAGAGAATCCATTAACAGGAAGGGAATTATCACCGCAATCCCAGAAGCTGGATACTGGATTGTAATACTGAGGAATGAGAATCAGTATCTGGCTTGTGCATCTCCCCCTTTTCCCCTCTTTCCAAAAGTGAAGCCTCAGGTAGTGGGTGTGTTTGTGAATTATGAGGAGGGTCTGATCTCCTTTCATGATGTGGAGTCCAGGTCTCTCATTCATTCTTTCACTGGTCAGTCTTTCACTGAGAAACTCTTCCCATACTTTAGCCCTTATGATAATAAAGGTAGAAATGAAGCACCACTGGTAATTGGGTACAATAAATGAATATACACCACAAATATGAAAATAAGATTTAGGACTACAGTATGAATACTTTCTGTTTTGAAATGATGCATTATGTCATCACATTTTTGCCTATAGCATTTGTTTTTCAGCTTTGAAACCTGCTTCTCAGTTTTTTTAATTTTTCATTTCTGTTCTGAAGGGTCTGAAGTTTGCTAAAGCCATTTTCATTTACTGCTCTCAAGTGAAATTACATGTAAAATGGATCTGATACATCTGTATGTTAATCATGTTTTAGCGGTTTGTACATTTCTTTTAATAAATTTAATAAAATATAAAGACATGACACAATTTATTATCCTAAAGCATACGTAAATAATACTTTAACTCTGCATAAGGGAACTTTCTTGTCTGTCTTTTTATTATTCTTGAGACCCACCAAAAACTTTTTGGAGTGAAATATCCATCTATCTATTTTTAGGTATAAATTTTATTTTCTTATTACATTGGGGAGGGCTACATATAAATGTCATTGCATTAATAATGGCTTATGAAAAAATGGAAAAATTAGGGAAACTGTCAACAAAGACATGACTGTAAAGTATACAGACAAAGATGCTGTTACAACAAATTAAAGATCCGTACTTAATATGACAGATGTTGTTGTTTTTTTTTCATGTTATAAATACATTTTGAATTGCGTTGCGTTTAGGGCTACAGATCCCACCATCATTTCAAGGCAGTTGATGTGCAAGCGTTACTCCCAGTTTGACCAGGAGCCGGAGGCCGGTCTGCCCTCGTACAGTGCTCCTCAACCCGAGTTGGAGGCATCTGTCGTAACCACCTTCCTTCTGGAGGTCAGTCCCAATGGGACGCTTGACTGAAACAGGTGAGGGGTTTTCTAAGGGGCCACTGCTCTGATGCAGTGGTGGGTTACCTTGAGATGAAAACATCCCAAGCGCCAAGCGTGGGACGGTACATGGGCTTTGAGCCAATATTGGAGGGGCTGCATGTGAAGCAGGCCCTGAGGAATCACAGAGGAGGTGGCTGACATGAGGCCGAGCATCCTCTGGAAAACTCTTGAGGGGACGTGAAGTCCCGAATCTGAATGACTCCACTAGCCGCTGAATTGTCACGGGGCGTGTCAGCATAATCCATGCCTGCATCTGGGCTGAATCGATAACTGTCCCCAGGAAGACGACTCGCTAGCTGGGAGAGAGCTCTTGGATAAATTTATTTTTAGCCCAAGCTGCTCCAGGTGGCTGAGCAACAGCGATGAGTTCCTGTTCCGATCTAGCTAACACAAACCAATCGTCGAGGTAATTCATAATCCTGGCAGGTACCACTCGTCTAAGTGGCTGCAGGCTGGCTCTTCCGGAGCCGAACAGTCTAAGCCCAGTTCCTCCACGGCCTTAGTGAGGATGCGAATCAACTAGCTGTCCAAAATTTCTTGGTAAGTAGCACAGTACTGTAAAAATTGTTTTCTCAGGTAACCTAAAATGTGCATCATTTAGTTACATCAAGGGTCAAATCAAATATAAATAGCACATTAACGTTTAAACTTACACACGTTTTTATGTGCACACTGTACAGGTCTGGTTTAAAGAATGTTTTTGCAGGTGGCCAAAATGTCTGCCCCAATAAAGAAAAGTTTTGCTCAACAAGAAAAAAATTAGAGGGAATATTGCCCGTCACAAATCAAGCCTCTGTGGCTCCCTCCAATCACCACCAGAGGGTTCCATCTACTGAGTATTGACTGTTTTTCAGACTTCATTTCCCACAACCCCGCATCTCTCGTTCTCTCACTCATTGCGTTCTCTTACTCTTGTTTTGTCATGGCTAACATTTCTGAGCGTTCTCTACTGTGTATTGTTTTCTTGTGTATGACCCCGGACTGTTTCGCCTTGCTTGATCCTCTGCTGCCTGCCTGCCTTTGTACTGGTAACTCTCTGCCTTGTTTGCTGCCTTCCCTCACCCTCTGCCTGTCTTCTGACCACGCTACTGTTTTGCCTTGGCTATACCTGATGGCTGTGATTGAACACTGCCTGTTTGTTTTGAGTACTTGTAAATAAAGCTGCACATGTATCCCAACTCTGTTGACTCCACGTTACAGCCCCCTTCAAATTTTCAATTCAATAATCCGGCCGTCCGATGAAGATAACTGAATAGACCTGGGGCCCGTTTCAATAAGGAGGTTCAACCAAAACTTGACCTCTGAGTTGACTAAAGCCCTATTCGGACGGTAATTGTTTCTCAGAGGGACGTAAGTGATTTTCACCATTTACAGGGGGTAGTTGGTGATTTTAATGCTGTCCGAATCCAGGATGTCGGTGTTTTTCTCTCACCACCCCTGTAAAAATCCCTGGCCAAATTACCTACTGTTTTTTAACAAACACCAAGGTCATGTGGTAATTTAATTGCCGTTCAAATCCACAACTCTGAGTTTACGAGAAGAAATCAATTCAAAATTCAGTGTTTAAACCCTTTTTGAGCACTCCCGAACACCGTAAGGTAACATTGTACTTCGGTGTAATTTGCATACACATTTATTTCTGAAATGCTGGAAAGTCTTTAAAAGAACAATATTTCATAACTGCTCCACCACAGCGACTGGGAGCAGAAAGAGAAGAAAAACACGTAAACATTCAAAATGGGTCTTTATTATTTACATAATAATAAGTATTTTTAAATACATTTTACACAATAATAAGAATACATTTGTAAATACAATTTTAAAACATTTTTATTTACAGCAGACAATCATGTGACTGGCCACGTGAGCAGCGCGTTCCCGGGTTCGTAGGATCACAGAACTCGAGAACTCACTCCACTGTGAATAAATCGCCATCCGAATCCATGAGTTTTATCACTGAGGTGATATGTAAATGTATTTTTACAGACGTCCATATGGGAAACAATTAACGTCCGAACCAGGTTTTACTCTGAGATGGGAAACTGTGAGTTTTCGGGTTCAGAACAGCTGAATTGAGTTCAATCAACTCTTGAGTAGGTTGACTCTGAGTTAAGCGCGTGCACCAGGACTATGAAAATTTATGATCAATGGACCGCCGATATTACGATTCACCATGGCAACAGCACCTTAAAAAAAGACGTCTGCATGCTTCAGAGTCAATACAAGTTTAATTCTTATCACTGTTATAATATCACAGGTGAAAACTGGCAGAACAGTAGGTTGTTGAACTAATAGGCTATTCATTTTCATGGTATCCCACGGGCAAAAAATATATATAAAATAATAATTTAAGTGCATTTTTCTTATTTTACAAATGATCTGCCAATATGGTAAGAAAAATACGGCAGCGGCTATTTACATTAGCATACTTTCTTAGCGATAGATCCTATTTACCAGTGGTGGGCCGTCAGGGCCAGCAAAGCCTTCTCTGCTGGCCTAAACACTATCAGAATCACTGATTTAGTTTTAATATATTTTTCCATGAATGTGTATTAAATTATTTCCAATCGTCTATTCTCTTCAGTTCATAGCTTTTCTCTTGGTTGCTATGTTTATATTAGAGCTTTTATCCAATCATATTTCAGCAATCGTGTTGCCAGGGTCAAAGAAATCTGCCTTAAGGCCTTCAGAATCCACAGTGCAGGCGTCTGTTAGCTTAAATCAATGGCAATGAAACCGTTGCTTTAACCAATCAGATTTCGAGTTGGCAACACCAGGGCCATATAGCTGGCTAACGATAACGTCAGCATTTTCTCGTCCTTTGATTGGATGGTCAGCATACTAGCTAGCAAACAGCATCACTGTAAATCATTTTATTAAAACTTAGTAAAACTTTTATTACCGTTTCTCAGGTTTAGATTTTCAGTGCATTTTGAAAAAATATTTGCTTGCTATATTCAGTACATCTAAAAACAGTAGTCCTATGACAGCGAAAAACAACCACACACCTCCTCGGCACCGGTTCTGTGAAAGACTCGTGAAGATGAAAAACCACTAGAGTATGGTAGGTTAATTTTCATTTTTGACTCTTTTATCGCTTGATGCATTGTATGCTGAGGTTATTTGCGCGATATAAAGCCAGGTTTAAATTTCCGTAAGAATATCTCAGTTTCCCGAGTGTAGCTGTATTAACCGGTCTTTTCCTCCGGCCGCAGCGCCGCTGGCATAACCTGGTCGGGAGCAGGTCTCCTCCCCCTTTTTAAAGTGCAAGCAATGTTTAATTACTTCATTCATTCATGCACGCTGCAAAAATGCTTTTCTTACTAAGTATTTTTTTATTATTTCAAGTACAAATATCTAAAAAATTCTTAAATCAAGATAGATTTTCTATATAAGAAAATTATATAAGATATTTAGTCTTATTTCCTGGGGGGATCTAAATTAAGTGCATTTTACTTAAGTAAAATTATCTGCCAGTGTGGTAATAAAAATAATCTTAATGCAAATGGAAAACAAGATTATTTGGAGTGTCTATTACTAAGTGCAAATTTACAGTAGCTCCGCTACTCGGCAATAATGTATGTGACACAAGGATAAATACCACGCACATAGTTAAGGACTTCAGTGGTGTAGGCAGTAACGCGTTGGGCGCGGAAAACTATCTTGTGACGTGATTGATCGGGCTGGAGTCTGGCTTTTGCCGAGCTCGCTCTTCTCACTTTTCCCATCACATATCACATTAGAATTTTTTTTTAGAAGAAAATGTTCTAAAAGTGGAAGTAAAGTGCCTAGCGAGTGTTTAATAATGATAAAAGTATTTATAATTTTAATAAATATAATTATTTACACTCTATGTGATTATTGCATCCTGTTAATGTACAACAATACTGAGGTGCAAATAGCATGTACCCCCCAGTATAAATAGCATCTATTATTATTTACACTTATTGCAAAGAACTGCTACTTTTACATGGTAAATAGAATATATCACTATTTTCACTGTGTAAAAAGCATCTAGAGCTATTTGCACTTAGCCTACTGTAAATAGCAGTGGCAGGCCGTGCATTTTACACCTATAGGCCTTCAGTGGAGTCCTACATGAATTAATCCATCTCTTCATACCATCATAATGATGCCACGGCTATAGAAACCATAAATATTGGCATCAACAGTATGGTGAGGGGCGTAACATTTCCGTCAGACGCTTGAGGAATTCGACCAATCACAACGCTCTGGATAGCTGGC